ATATAGCACCAATTTGCCATTCTAGGGAAGGGGGAAATACTGGGGGATGATTTTACTTTTCACCAAGAAACTATTTCCACCTCTTGGAGGCCCCAGAGATTTTAGGAATTCAGATTTCATAGTTTTAATGACAGTGATTTCTGTGGTCTTTCCTTATATACCACTGTGAGGGAGGATTTGGCCACATAGGCAAGGTAACTCATCTATATATGTATTCACTAGCCAGTTTCACATTAGGTATCATATTAAAATCCTCCTGCAAGTATCTAGATCATTCCAAATATTCACTCACTAACTTCAATGTTAGATTTGAAGAACTAGTAGATTATGGGCCAAATCACTCTACTCTTCAGCTCATTTAAAAACAAAGTTTGTTTGGGGGAAATGACCAGTTGTTCAAATTTCACTGTCCAAATGCAAATTTTATATTAAAACAAATATTGCTATAATAGGGACTCCCAGGAATGAGACAGGAGGGCCAGGTTACTTCTAAAGGCAATAGGAATATTTCATGTCACAGAGTTTGCAGGTAACTCTGGGCTGTTTGACAGGGAGAACAGTCGTTATAAGAGGCCACAGTGACAAGATCCCTGATTTGGATAGTAAGGGATGATGGGGATGACCAGGAGAAGGATGTTGTTAATGTTGAAAAGGTCTGGCTCTGGAGAAATGCCAACTCCTGCCAACTCCTATATAGAGTTGGCTGTTATAGGAACCTGGGGATTGGAACACAAAGATCCTATGTTAAAATCATCCACAGGTAACCGACAAAGTTTGGTTGATCCTCACTGCCATGTTATGTTATTTAGGACTGATTTTAGCATGTTGGCTTCCTCCAGGGTTGTTTTGTCACTAGAGAGACATAATGCAGTGCTGAGAAGAGAAATAACTAATAAGTCAGAAGATTGGGCTCAGGCTAGCAGTGGGAAGAGTGTGGGCTCCAATAATTCAGACCATGGATCTCCTCCCAGTCCTGTCATTTAGTAGCCAGGGATCATGGGAATATCACAACCCTGTGAAGCTTGGAATCTTCTTCTCTGAAGTGGGCTTGAGAAGGTCTGTCCAGTAGGACTGTTGGGATGTGTGTACTACTATATTTAAAGTCCCTAGAACAGTGCCTGGCCTATATTGGAACTGTAATGACTGTTTATATTGTCGTTGTTCTCCAGCACATATTAAATAATACGCAATTCAAAAGTACATGGAATAGCTAATCAGCCAAATTTGAAATTTCATGTTTTAAATTCAGTAAATATTCCCTCAGAGGACATACTGCAAAATCTGGGTTTGGAGGACCCATTCCCCTCTGGGAAGCTCTAAAAATCTTAGTTAAGGAACAGCTCTATCCTTCCTATCTGTTTTTTCATCCAAACCACTATTTTCATTCATTTCAACTCATCACCCCTTGCTTAGAGTTGTCCAAATTACACTAAAGGTAAACTGATTAAAATGTTCTCTAATGGAGTTGGCTGACATGGAGGCAACATGTCACAGACTTACTTATCAGGAAAACCTTATTTTTCAGAAACCCTTTCAGATGATGGGTCTAAAATACCTAGTATGTGTACTATATTATGAAATATCTATGTAAGAGCTCAAGATACCCTTTATACCTGTTCCAGGTAGAGATTCTTACCTGCTTTATCCACTCACCATCCAAAAGGAGCTACTCAGAGCAGATTTCCACTTTCTAACCCCTAAGAGATGCTATCTGAGTGTCTGGCCTCAGTCACTATGCTTTAATCACAATGAAGTTCTATAGGCAGAACTGCAATTTCTCAATGCCCCAAAATACCTTGGTTCAGGGCAAAACCAGATTGCTCTTCACTGGAATACCATCTTCTCATACCTCCTTTACTTATTCTTAGGTCTTAGAAGACATTTCACCATCTTCATGATGTGACTGCTGAACTTAGATTACCATTCTACAGATAAGAGTGGGTCTAGTTTACCTTAGTATCCCAATGCCAACCCAGGTCCTTGAAAATAGTGAATGCTCAATGAAAGCTTGGGGAAGAAATGAGCCAGTGAGCAGAGGTTTCATTTATTATAATTTAATTTTGATTTTAAGTTAACAGATCCAGGTGTATGTCTTTTAATTTTACAGAATGTAAGACTAAATGTAATACAATAATAAAAGTCAATATGTTAAATTTTTTCCTTTACTGCTAAATCCATCCACATTTCCAAGAAAATTCCAATCCCAATGCTATGTATGTTGTTACAGATTACAGAAAAGATAGAAAGCCTCCCAATTTGTTGTACAAAAGAGCAAAACTCTATTAAAGTGGGTAACAGGATGAATGTGAGATGAATGTATTTGTAAGCTTAGATTCTGTGTCCCATACACCTTCTTGTAAAATTAACATTTTGAAACACCAAAAGGAAAATAAATTCTCAAATCACCTAAATAGTAAAACAAGGACATTTTATAATGTATTCTCCCGAACTCCAGTCTGAACTTCAACTACTTTGATTATTGACTATGCAGGACCTTACTTTGGGCATAAAGAACTGCTACTGGCACTAAAACTTGCTCTGGCTGGGGAAGCAGCATCATCTGTTGTGGCAACTCTGGCCTGGGCTTTCTCTTCCTCATCTCTCAAAGCCTCCTCATACCATACTGGGAAGGCTCTGGGATCACTCCCATTGACCTTAGCCAAAAATTCCAAAAGACTCATTTTACTAGTTTCATTGTGGGCCCTTGGGCCCCACAGAAACTCATAGTGAGCAGGATCACTGTTAGGCACCTGCCGATACACCAGGTACTCTTCCTGCACCCAATCGTGGGTGATAAGCTTCCTGGGATCCCCATAGATGAAGTGTTCCCTCCCAGCACACACCCCCATAACACTCAGTGCTTCCCAAACTACCTCCTCAGAGGCACAGTTGCCCTCCATGAATATAATGCTCAGTATAAGTACCAGGAGGCCAACCTTGGGCATGCCCTGAACTTCACTCAGCATCCCATCATAGGTGAGGCCAAGGGTAGTCACAAGGACATAGGAGTGACTCGAGGGATCCACTTCCTTCAGGTCAATGCCAAAGACAAGCTGCATGCACTCAGAAGCCTCACTGAAGATCACAGGGAAGTGCTCCTGGTAATTTTTGATGACACTATTCAGCATTTCTGCCTCTGTAGTCAGCTCTTTCATTCGATACTTGAGGAGCAGAAATTCTACCAAATCATTCACCTTTTCATCTATCTCACTTCTAGACAAGGACTTACTACCTGTCAGGGATTGGGAGGTACTTGGACCCTCTTCTCCTTGGCTGGAGACATCAGATTGGCTGCATGGAGTAGAGGTCGTGGCAGTGTGGGAGGACGAAGCTGTCAGAGGACTCTGGGAAGGACTTAGTAACTCATCATAACCAAAATCTTCCTCTGGGGAACTTGACAGTAGAGGATAGCAAGAGGAGGAAGTGGAGGAAGAGGAGCCGGGGAAAGAGGAGGAGCAAGTGGAGGAGGAAGAGGAAGTATCCTCCTCATCCACAGCTGTGGAAACCTGGGCATCCATAAGGGCCTGTTTCTCCATTTGGGCCTGAAGGTCTTCCTCAAGCATGTAGCGCTGACGCTTTGGGGCTCGAGGCATAATGATTCTGGTCTAAGGCAGCAAGATGGAGGATGGACAGGAGCTTAGTGTTGAAGACTTACCAGCCTGGGGAGAGAAGGTGCGTGTCAGGGCCTTAGCTGAGAACTGAACCCTTGGAACCCCTCACAAAGGCCCACTACAGGTCTTCTCTTTGGGCAATGCTCTAGGGCTATTCAAGTTCCTCTCCTGGTAGGCCTATTTCCTGAAAACCTGAGGCAGGAAGTGAGGCAACTTCTGTGGGTACAGCAAGCCCACAGAGCACAAGGCCCAGGGTTAATAGTAGGGCTTCTGGGGCCTGAGCTCTGTGAGACTCCCTCTGTCCTGGTTAGTGTGGGATCCTTGATACACATTCCCAGAGTGCCCCACACCATGACTCCAAATACTGCCTGGGCCTCCTCTGCTCCAGGACCTGAGGACACTGCCTCATACAAAACCTTCACGGCCTGGTTCCAGGAGTTCTTGTAAGAGGCACTGAGGGGTCCCACAGGTTTCAGACTGCAAGCACAACCTGATCCACCAGCCCTGATAGGAGGGACGGGCTGCCTTCTGTGAGGTCCCCACTGCTTACTCTGGGCCCTTACCTTTCCCCTGGCAGGACCTGGATACCACCCATGTGCTGGCCTGAAGGGCACTCTGTGAAGAAGTGCCCACCTCCCTGTGAAGGAACACAAGGCAGTGAGGGGCCTCACATATGGCCGCACCTTCTCAAAGGTGAAGCAAGAGCTGGCCAAATTCAATGGTTCCGTGTGTCCTGGCCATGGAGGATCTGGCTCAGTCCTCACCTTAGGTATGAGATGCTCTTTAATGATCTAAGGGCACCTTCCTTAAACCTTAACAAAGCCTTAAACAAACCCTGTCTATGTGAGACACCCAGAAAGGAAGTGAGGGGAAGGTAAAGCCAATGGAACTGGGTTGTCCCATGGCTGAGAAGAAAGGGCAGGTGAGGATCAGGGTCCTTGTGTTCCACTGAAGAAGTTCCTTCTGTCCTTACCTGACTCCTGGCTATGCCCGAGATCCTCCTTCTGCTTTCCTGAGCCCAATCCCCTCTTACTGAGGCCTTCACTTCTCTGAAACCAATGACACACAGAAAATAAAGGAACCTTTACAACCCTGCCTGGGCTTCCTGTGCTGACAGCAGGTAACGGGAAGATTTCTGAGGGGCATCCACTGTATTCTGGGACCCTTGACCTTCCCCTAGGGTCCTCACTTTACTCTTGGGTAACTGGGACACCTGTGTCTGATGACCAGATAGTGATCCCTGTGCTAAGATGAAGTTACCCTGTCACATGAGGTTCCTCACTTCTCCAAGAGCCTGGTACTTCCCAGAGAAGTGAACAGTTTCCCACTGCCCTTGTGTAGGTTCTCCAGGGCTGGTGGTTGGACCTGGGTCCAAAGTATTATGGGCTGAGAGATTACCCAAGTCTTTACTCATGCCCACGCCTGCCCTTCCTCACTACCACCCCATCTGAGATGAACTGACGTCTTTACACCAAGACCCCATCTCCCTGAATACCTCCCATATTTGCGCCCATGGCAGAAGATCTTGCCACTTAGGGCCTCCTAGGGCTGACTATAGTGGGCAGGCACACTGTGTGGTATCCACTGGGTCAGAGATGGGGATACTTTCAGTCCATACCTTGGGTCTGGCAGGACCTGGATTCCTCCCTCTGCTGACATGTTATCACCTCTTGGACCAAGGTCCCTACACATGTAAAACCTCTCAGCCAAACCAGGAGGCAGAAATGAGCCAGAGTTACTTCCAGTGACCCCTGAATGGGGTAGATTACAAGGGAAGCCAGGTTCTGTGAGGTCCCTTCCTTTGGGAGGTATGGCATTCAGTCCCTGTCACCAAAGTTCCTCACCTTGATTCCCGGCAGATGCTGGAACCCTCCCTCTGCTGACCAGCTGTGGCTCCTCTGCCGTCCTGACGAGCTCTCTCACACCAAGGCCTCACCTCCCTGATTTGGAGGAGACAGAAGTGAGGACAGCACATTTGGACATGGCTGCATGGGGTTTCCCCAGGTTAACAGACCAGCAGGTTCCAGGGGCCTCCTTTGTCTGGAGTGTCCTCAAGGTACTCATATTCACTCCTGACAGGGTCTGGGCCCTTTCCCCTCTGCTGACCTGTAGATACAACTTGCAGGCCAAGGCCACCGTCTCTTGGAAGGTCCAAAGGGGGAAGAAGGTGTGGGATCCCTTCCCCAAAGTCCCGCCTGAAGCCACCCCAGGCTGCCAGCAGGGGCAGTTTACCCATGTGTGGATCTGGGCTGTTACTGAACTTCCCAGAAGCCCCTGAGATTCCTCCCTCTGCTGACCTGAGAACACACACTTCAATCATGGTCACTCATCCCTGACACCCTGGAAGCACAGGAAGGTGCTGCCTCTGGCCACCCTGCCCTGGCCTAGCAGGGTAGAGGTCCCCCTTTGATCTGGAGTCCAAGCCCCCCTCCTTCCTCCCTGAGTCCTCCCCTTGACTCCTGGCAGCAGCCCACTCCTCTCCTAAACTGAGTCCTCCTCCCTCAGATTCCAGAGTCAGAATGAAGGACAGGCTCAGTCTAAAAGCAGGGGCAGGACTAGGTGGTGCCCGTTCTGTGTCCTAGGGCACTCAGTCCTCCCTCATTTCTAACCCTGACTGCCAACAGGCCCTCCTTCTTCTACTGAGTCTCTTAGCTCCCTTGGACCAAGATGCCAAAGTCAGAAATCATAGTCCCTGAAAACCTGCTACAGGCTTCCCAGGGATGAGAGTAGACTGGGCCTGATTCAAGGTTACCTCAGTCCTTCCTCAGTGCCCCCCTTGACTTCTAGCTGGTCTGGGCACCTCTTCTTGTTTACCTGAACCTATGCTTGTGCTACTAAACTATAACCTCACTCAGACATGAATGCCAAAGCCAGGAACCACTTTTTTCTTTACCTTATATGAGGCCTCCCTGGGCTGACTGCAGGGGCAGATTTCTATGGTGTTCTGGACATTCTATAGTATATAGCCCCTCCTCCAAGACCAAGGGCATCACTTGTGTCAGATACCCAACTGAGGTTGTTAAGGTACTGCACCTCTACCCACCATGCCTAGATTTTCCCAGGTCTGATCTCAAGGGCTGAGTTGGATTTTGTGGGACTCCTCTACCAGTATCAAGTGGATCCCTTCATTCTTTCCTGTCTCTCCTCAACATGGTTTCTGTCAGTTTTTTGATCCTCATCCTCTGCTGATCTGTGTCCTTTGAGACTAACCAGGGTTCTTTAAAGCTGAGTGAAGGGCTCATTCCCCCCAATCTGGCCCTGTGTGCTGCAGAGCTGACCACACAGGCAAATAAGTATAATTTTCTTGAACTCAGGGATGCTCTACCACTGAACAACATGTCTGTCTCTTTACATTTTATTTTTAAATTTTTGAGACAGGATCTTATTTGCTTAGGCTGCCCTTGAACTTGCCATCCTCCAGTCTCAGCATCTCAAGTAACTGGAATTATAGGTATGCACCCTCACTCCATCCAGACCTGCATAATTTGGGGTGGAACTGAAGCTAGATTTAAAGATAGGTAGTTAGTGTAGTTAGGTAAATTCGGTCTAATATCGAGTAAGGTAAAGAAAATGGAGACCATTATTATTTTTTTAGAGAGAGAGGGAATTCTTTTTAATATTCATTTTTAGTTTTTGGTGGACACATCATCTTTATTTTTTAAATTTTTATGTTGTGTTGAGTGTCAAACCCAGCGCCCTGTGTATGCCAGGTAAGTGCCCTACCACATCACCAGTTGAGCCACATCCCCAGCCCAAGAGACCATGATTGAGAATGGAATCCAGGAAACCAGAGCTGCACTTGGGGAAATTGAAATGTTAGTGTCCCCAAGGGCTGGGAACCCATCCTAAGGAACTGTTAAGGAAGTAGCTCCCAGTAAACAGGGAGGTGCTAATCAAAAACCACCCCAGGCCCTTCCTGGTCGGATTACTCCTTCAGCCCACCCAGGCCCCACCTTTTGGCCTTTCCATCTGCATTCTAGCACTGAAAGATAAAGGGAAACAAAGGAAATGAGTGTGGGAAAGCTGAAAGAAGACCTTAGCTGTAAAAAAGGGAAGACCTCACCCTTCCATGGATTCCAACTTTGCCTTTAGGGTCCCCTTCTTCCTCTGGGGAGAAGTTTTTTCTGCTGTCCTTTAATTAAAACTTCCACTTTGCACTCTACACTTGCCTCTGTGTGCTTCTGTGGTGTTATACTTCAGCATTGGGGAAGCAAGGACTCATCACCAGTAAACAGTGGTAATAGAAGTTTCTCAGTTTATCCTGAGCATCTCAGTTTGTCCTTTTCTTTTTTCATGCAAGTTGCAAGTGTGCCAAGCTCTCTAATACTGAGCTACACCCAAAATCCAAATCTTGACATCAACATAGTGCTGGTACTGTGTGCTACACAACCGTGAAGCATAATCATGAAAACAAGGTCCTACTGAAGAATATCCTGCTAAGTGAAATAAGCCAATCCCCAAAATGCAAAGGCTGAATGTTTTCTCTGATATGTGGATGCTAACACACAACGGCATGGGTGGGAGGCATAGGAGGGGGGGCAGCGAGAATAGAAGTACATGGATTAGGACAAAGGGGAATGAAGGGAAGAGGGAGGCGATGGGAATAGAAAAGACAGTGGAATGAATCTAACAGAACTTTCCTTGTATGTAGATGAATACACCACAGTGAAACTCCACAGTATGTATAACCACAAGAATGGGATCGTAATTAGAATAAGATACACTGCAAGTATGCATAATATGTCAAAATGCACTGTACTGTCATATATATATATATATATATATATATAAATGAGAGAGAGAATTTTTTAAAAATCAAGGTCTTAACGTCTGTCCCATCCCCAAAGCAAACTCAGTGAATATCACAACCCACCGAATACCTGGGGCCACCTATTGTGGCAGGCAGGGCCGGATTGGGGTTCCCGAACTTTTCCCTTGGGCCCCTCACATACTATTGTCGTTGAGCCTGGACCACAGGTCTCTACATACCCTCTGTTGGACCGGCACCACATCCCTCAGACCAAGACTTCACCTGTAAGATTCTGGAGAGCAAACTGAGGTTTAGCCTCATTCAGAAAACAGTTCTTGTGTCGGTTGACTTGAGATGGCGCCGCACGGGGAGCCTCCACTTCCTCAGCACTCCAGGGCGGAAGTCAGGGTGCATCACATCCGGCCAGGCTATCCTGACATCAGAGGTAGGCTTCTCTTCCGGTGTCTGAGGTCCCCTTGATCCCCCTTAAGAATTGTTTTTATTTTGATCCTGGGTCCTGAGTCTTTTCCATTGGTTGATCTGTGTCTGGTTCCTCACTAAGAGTAATAACATTTAGTCCTGGTCAGAGCCTGGAGCTCTTTTCTCTGATGATTAGAGGCTGCACTCTTCTGTTCAAATCTCACGTTCATAAATCCCTCCCCCTCACCATGATTTGGGGTACCCCTGAGCTGTCTGCAGGGGTATGGTAAAATTGGAATCCCTCTATTCTGCAATATGAGGTCTCCTCACTTCTACATCAATATCATTGTCTTCACTGCTGGCAAGGTCTGAGTGGTCTTACAATGCTGCCGTGATTCTACCTTCAGGCCAAGGTTAAAACTGCCTTAAGACCCCCGAGGCAGAAATGAGTAGAGCCCTCAGCCTCACAATTATGTCTGGGGTCTTCAGGGCTGTTACCAGAGCTCAAGCTGAATTTTGTGCAATGTCTTCTCTTCTGAGATGCGTGGACCCCTTAGTCCTCACACATGAAAGATTCTGGCTCATTAATCAAATACTTGGCAAGACGTTCACTGTTCCTGACATTTGCCCCACTGCAGTCTTTGCAAATGACATCATTTGCCAGTCCCAAGCTAGATTCTCTGTACAACGCTGCAATGGCCATAATTGTGGTGAACTGTTACAGAAGCAGTCTCCAAGGCCCAAAGAACACATGAAGTCTCTTTGCCAGCCAGACGTAGACTGGAAATCTTTGTTCTTAAAGATTTCATTTTACCCTAGCAGGTAATCTAATTCTGCATTGTACAGTGTGCATTGACTTTCCCCTTTTTTAAGCCTCATTCTTAGTATGTTTAGAATATTAATTTCCTAAAATACTTATCCTTGCTATCTGTGATTCACTCACTATTCAATTTCTGTTCCATTATTTATATTCTATTAAAAAAAATTTTCAAACAGGCCAGTCATCATAACTAACATACTCTCACGTAGTTTTAACACAGCCTCCGCAGGCATATTTCTTCAATCGACACATTTTTCCTGCTGGCCTGATATTGCCCAATGGTTTCTGGCATCTGTGCCTTGAGGTACTACCTCAGACTATGCAATGAAGTATGCCCAAAAGTTGAAACATTTCCTGTTACCTATCCTGCCCCTGCCACCTCTAAAAGCTGGAGACCCTCTCCAACTTGATATCTGTCCTCCACTCCCTCCAACTCTTAATGCAAATGCTAGTTCAACAGTCCTGAATTCCCCAGTCTTTTCTTCTGTTTTGTTATTCAGATTTTGTTGATTATCAATACTGTACTTTCCCCTTATCCCTTCAGTAGTTTTGCAGGGTTAATTTAGGAATTGTAATAAAGGAATAAGAACTTATTTTGACCCATGTAAGGTACTAACTCTGGAAATACTTTAGAAGTGTTCACATCTTTATAGTATTCTGTTCTCTATTACTTAATATGATGAATGTTCCTTATATTTAAAAATTTGTTCATGTGACTATCAGCAAATTTTACAGTTGCCTCCATTAAGATCTTCTTCATTTTTGCTAGCATTCTTTTCAGGTGATTTGGGGGTTTGTTGCCATTGTGAATAGGATGTTTTCTCTTACATGCTCTAATTACTTATGGCTTTGTGTAGCAGAATTCTTGATTTTTCCACTAATGAACTTCCATACAATTTTTATGAAGTTACTTATGCATTTATATGTTCACTTATGTATTCCTTTAGTGTTTTAAAAGATAATATTGTCACCAATATTCTTAATATCATATCTCATGTTTACTTTTATAACCATAGCTCTGTGTATGTGTTCCAAAGCAATTTTGAACAGTAGAAGAGATACTATACATTTTTATCTTGACCCTCACTTTAATGAGAATTATTCTAATATTTCACATTTAAATGTACTTGTGATATTTTAGGAAGGGGAAATTATATTATAGTACTAGTTTACTTTTTTACCATACAATTGTGTTGAATTTCTTTGAAAAGTTTTATGTTGCCATTAACAAGAACAAGTGTTTTTTTTCTCTTTTAATTTGTCTATAGGGAATTAAAATTGAAAGCATTTTATAATGTTAAATCATATTTTTATTCCTTGGACACAGCCTGTTTGTTCATTTAATTTACTGCTATGATGAATATGCTATTAAATTATTTAGAATATTTGCTGCTGTGGGCTTGGCTCCAGTATGATTTTCATGGGGTGTTCTCATCTGGTATTGAAATCAACGAGCACTAGTCTGGCAAAATGAATTGAATAATTGCCATCATTTTGTGCGCTTTGGAAGAGTTTACATAAGACAGTAATTTGTTTCTCCCTAACCATTTGCTAGAACTAGCCTGTAAAACTGCCTTGTCCTAGAACATTAGATGGTGGCTTGAGTTTTAAATGCAGTTTCTATCTATACTGTTTGATTAAATCTTTA